GAACTAAAGCAATAAACCAAACTGTGTATTTTTTACGTGGCGATTTGTCTATACTTTTCCAATACCAGCTAATTTATATGAACTGGATTTGTATAAATCATTTTATAAGGTAGATTAAAGCAATATTTAATTTCAATTAAATGAAAACGAAATTAATAAGATCATTAACTTGATTTTCATTGAAAAAAACTTCTGACTAAATTTTTCTAGTACTTAAAACTTATTAAGTAGTAAGTTTGGAAAAAGACAATAATTATGGGAGGTCGATGGTATATTTGGTTTTAAACAGAGATCAGCTTACTTTCGTGTAAAATGATGACATGTAAACTATGAAAGAGGAAATTCGTTGACATAGAAAAAAAGCCCACTCTACGTGGGTAGATAAATCAACTACCTATTTTCCTTAGGCGTAAAGGGCATAAATCAAATATCCAAATAGGATCTACTGACTGCAAATCAAACTTGAAAGCTGAATAGTACCTAGTCACTTGAGATCTATGTGCATAACACCGAATATTATTATAAATACTAGGTTGTAGTTGCAGTGTGTAGTTTAAAAAAGTGAATACCGAGTACAGGTGCATCGGAATATTTGGGATTGCAATCAACATTAAGAGCTAAAATTTGATGTAACTAATTACGTATTTTTACCTGATTTTAACATTCACACTCCTGATATCGATCCCATCACTTGCATGGTTGAGTTACACTTTTTACATGGATTATTGTACATGGGATACCAAAGTCTTATGGGGATCTATGTAAAATGTTTTCACATACTCTTAAGATAATTACTTGTGGATCAAACACAGCGTATATGTTTGTGTTTTCCTTCAACATAATAATCTTTTTAGTAGAAAGTTATTTAGCTATTTATTCGAAAATGAAAACTATGATTATTAAAACAAATGTTGTGATCACGAGTAACCCTCCTAATTAAAAAAATGATGAAAACGATTGTGTCCCATACTTTCTCACTTGATTAACACAGGAAATCAGATGAGATTGAATGTTTTTAGAGTTATCCTCTGTATATCAACGATTATAATGCATCGATTACGTCAAGCCATAGGGATTCATATATACAAACGTGTAGTATGTTTTTAAAAAGAGATTTTTGTAACTCTTCTCTTTAACCTTATCATCAACATAAGTTCAATTGGATGTGGTTCAAACGGGTTGACTATTCCGTCCTTTATTTCAAATTTCGTTTGTTTTCCTACACAACTGTAACATAAATCTCTTTGGTCCTTTCAAAGTTGATCACATGTCCTGTTTCTAACAAATTTAACATTATTGTTATTCTACTCTCAAGTTTCCTGAGACCAACAGAGGATTTGGAAACATAATCACAAAAGTTTCAGTAAGAAATCATGTCCACCGCTGTTATGCTCACGGATGTTTAACCGACTTGTATTTGGTGATAAAACCCCAAATTCGATAGCACGTAGTAGGAACATGAAGACTAATGATACGGGTTTATTTAAACCTTAAAATAAATAAAGCTGACATCTGAATACAATACTTTTTGTGATTTGTTTACAGATTAACATTCGAGTTTTGTATAGTCTTAAATGAGTAGTATTTGACATTAGTTAATCGATAAATAACACAATACTACACTGATCGATTCCTACGTTGACTAAATATAAGTTCTGTGATACCACATTCCTTTCCTGAAAATAGGTCCAATTGAAGGTGTTGAAATGGGTTTAATCAAGTGACCTCTGGTTCTAACGAGATGAGAATGCTATCGGAAATCTCAGAATCTATAATCAGCTATAATCAGTTACCAGATATTTTGGATAAATGAGTGACTGGTTAGTAGTGTATACGACTAAGTCAATGAATGGAACAAGTTGGAGAGATAAGTGTTCAGTGATATTTCAGTTAAACAAGAACCATCACCCACTGTTTGAAGTTGTGAAAACCTTCGGTGATTAGGAAGTTTCAAGATCAGACATCGAAAATAAACAGTGGTGTTGATTCAGGTCAATGGCAAACTTTGAATTGAGACATAAAGTATCATACTAGATTTTATCATTGATTATTTCATATTACAATACTAGAATGTAATTCCTAAATTAACGTAAAAATGACTTTGTAAATAGTGCATTAAACCATTAATTTGGAATTTAGTTACCATTTTATAAAAAGAAACACGGATGATTCAAATTTCGTTAATTTGAATAATGTTGTCCTACAGATTAAAAAAAGATGTTATGACTTTCGCCCAGTTAATCATCGCGTGATAAGATTGCCAATCAGAACATGACTTATATAATCTTGATATCGTACGGAAATGATGACGCGTCAACCAGTACGAGCAGTCTAGAGTCAACTCTGAGTCCTGATTAATCTTTTTGCTATGTAAATCATATATTTCAAACATACAGGGTTTATATACAAGCAAACTAGACTACATCATACCCTAAAATAGGAAATAACAATTATACAAGAGCAAGCCGAAAAGTAGCTGTGATTGTGAGAGGCTGTAACTAACACTGAGAATAACATGAGAATAGTAAATCGTATAACAGTAGCCAATAGAGCCAATGAAAGTTTATGATAAAAGGAATATGAATATAAACATTATCTAATTATTTAATAGTTATCCAATAAGAATACACGTAATAATATTCCATAAATAATTCCTAACAGTTACCATTCATTTATTCTTCGTCAGGATATAACAGATGTGTTGGTCGATCTCCCAAAACAACCAACAATGCTAGGCTCTATTCAACAATTGTGACTAAGGTGTTCAGCAACAGTTATGGAAAATTTTCAAGTTTTTCAGAGTTATCAAATAGAAGTATTAGGTCTGTGTAAAAGTTCACAACTTACAATCACAGGTTACTTCTGTGAATTCAGTTCATCAGGGGTATCAAATGATCAGTTGGTTGGGCAGTATTCAAATCTCATTTAATATTCTGCACAGTCGTATTTTCTTCTAAGCACGTCAACAGGACCTGATTAAAGCATGTTTCGAATAAGACCACTTTGTAACTTGCTGACTGGTCCATTTCCAATCGATCAGCGTTAGTGGATGAGCCGAGAAGACTATAGGAATTCTCAGTGTGAAATTTTCATACAGTGATACTTTCTCATTATACTAATATAATTTGCTATCCACTCTGAAATGTTTATATTTCTGTCTAAATCGTGTTTCCATTCGAAAACTAGTTGAGTGAAAAAAAGTATCCAATAATACTAGGCCGAAGGAGATTTAATACAACGAATTATTGATTTCTTCAGACTATCAAAGACAAATCATAAAGTTACACTACTCAGTATGACTACTGTTTAGACCGTCTAATTACTGATTGGACATAAAAATAAATCTACAAGAGATCAATTTTTAAGATAAGTGTCACTATTGTTAATCTATCGATGTCAAACTAACTCTCTCCTTAAAAGTATTCTTTATACTGTAATCCACAAAACTAGAAAGTTTTTTACATGTTCATCTATCCAAAGAAATATGTATGTCCGAAGTACAACATAAAATAGTCTTTCAATGACCTCCTTCGTATTGATAACAAATCTGCATTTAATGTAATTACCGATAAATTTGAATGATAGTGAGAAATAGTTCACTAGCATATAGTTGCACTAAACAATAGACAATATACTTTCTTTCCTGAACAAGTGAATATGTGTATATACACCGTGAACTAATATACTGTAATATTCATCCACTCAGCCCCCAAATGCCCTGGTACGTCCGAGAGTGAGGAGAGTCCGCTCTTCCTCTCAAAATGCTCTCACATGGCCACGCGTACATAGCCTCTGTCAGGGAAGTCCTACTCACTGCCTTCTCGCACCACGGGTGTTGTTTACGAAATTGAGAGGATGAAAAGCGAATTTCCGGCGCTTTAACCGGGTTGGGGGACACGGAGGGTCCACCTAAGGGAGTTGGAAAACCCTAATTCCAAACCAATGGTGCACATGGGCTCAAGTACCCTGAGGGAACAAATGGCGTATGAATCAGTTTTTTGGTCACCAGCTACCATGGGTTTGCATCTCCTTACGATGCTCCACTGCCTTGTGGATCAGACCTTCAGGTCAAAGGTTCCGGGTGTGGCCCCCTAAGAAAACCACCTGCTTCAGTTTGGGCACCTGGGCAGTATCACAGCCCTCACACAAATCGAATGAGATTTGTGCGGCACACATATATCTGGTGCCCCCTTGTACCAATATTTATGCCTTTAAATAAATAAACAACTAGAATCGTATAACTAAACACCAGACATGACTAAGTCAGCAAATAAGGGTTTTTAGTAGATTACACAGTGCAACATTAACAATGCAAGTTGTAACCTATTGTTATATTTTCAATTGAACATTTTTGAAGGTTATAATTAGCTGTAAAAAAGTTCAGTTACTTCTCGTGTGTGTAAAGTGAACTGAACTATTTAGGAATACAGATACAACTCGATCGTATGTACTTATCATCTACATTAGCAGTGCTTTGAGTAAATTTGAAACGAATTCACAACAATGCACTTTAAAAAGTACTTTTGTATAAAATACTATGTTCTTCAGAATGGTTTATCCAGTATATACGGTTATACGCACCTTATGACTTTGAAATTTGTAATGTAACATGCTTAATTAAATTGTTAGATATAGAAGTGTACTACGCATTACTTAATTTTGTTTTTGGTATTGTTTCTGAACATTTTTATACTAATTACTTGCCAAAAAAACATTTTTAAATTAAAAGCTTTTCATGTTAACGTAAATTACCTTTGACACAAAGGTAAGAAGGAAATCGTTACGTTGTGCTAAGAACGTTTCTGATGAACACTAATCAAATCGGAATATACATCCAGAGTATTCTAAAACTGGTTGCTTCCATTCAACTAGTGGAAGGGGTGACTTAACGACTACAGTACTTAATTCCCAATTATTTGGTTGCAGGTTCTAATCCCGCTACAGTTACTTCGGTTCCTGGTGAGCGACCCGGTACTACTGTTTCAAAGGAACACATAATATTAATAAATACAAACAAATATTCATAATAATGATATCGATGATGAAGTATGGGAAGGTGACTAATGATAAAGTGTATTGGGCAAGAATACTTAGATATGTGTATCTTTTTCGTCACAATAATCTGGCTCAATAAGAGAAGTTTTAGTCATGACAAATAAGTAGCACTGGTTGAATCAAACGAAAACATCAATGAGATTAATATAAAACTTCACTAAAGAGAGATAAAAATAGGATAGAATAAAAAAAGACCAAAGACAGATTCCGTTTCTAAAAAATATATATAATCAAGTTATTTATTTTATCAGTCTTGCTGGGTTAAACAATTCAATACCGGGTTGTTGTAATAAATTATCTTGAGCATTTTCTTCATCCAGTTTCATTTGATTGGTGACATTTGAATTTGTGCTCTGTTTTAAATTAGGATTATTTTTTAAAATGATAGCTGCTAAAAGGCGTCCAGATATAGGTCCAGTAAGAATTCCCCAACAAGAATTACCCGTGGCAATATAAACATTGGATAAACCAGGAATTTGACCAATAACAGGATACCCATCACTCACTAGCGGTAAATAACAAGCAGATTCTGTTATCGTCTCAGCATCTTTTAGTGATGGAACTACACTAGTAACTATTTCTTTCAAACGATTACAACGCCAAGATTCAATCTCAACTTGGTCCTTTGAAGACGGTACAGGCTAGAAGTAATAATAATGAAGTGTAAAAATCTTATGAGACTATCACTAATCATGTCCAAATATTGGAAACCAATAGAAATGTATACTATGAAAATGAAGATGTTCATTGACACAGATTTTTGTGAATGGCGTCTGTTGATGAAGATAAAGGAGTCAACTTGCAAGGACTGGAAACTCTTGGCTTTAAACCAGAGGTCCATGAAAGCTCATAAGTTCGTAGAGATTTTATTTGATGACATTGAAATTTAAAAAAGATATTTACGAAAATAAACATGGAAATCTTATTTAATTTAGTAGACCTGTCTTTTGAAGTTGATGGGAGTGAAAGTTGAGTTCCTTAGGAGTAATCAATATTGAGAAGACGAAAACCAAATCCTATAAGCTTTCTACAATTTTTATTCGATCCTAGGTTTTGGGTCACGACTATAAGAGTATGAATACAACAATAAGAGTTTATAAACCAAAAATACAATGAATAAACTCACTGCTCCATCACCAAGACCACATACATAGACTGTATTATCAGGTCTTGGATAAACTTCAGGTGAACAAGAGAACTCAGAATTTTGATAATCCATGAACAAACACTTAGCATCTATTGGGGAATTTTCTATTTTTGATTTCAATATAATACTATGAGCTCGCCTTCCGTCAAATTTATTAGAATTTAAACATCCTGAGGGCAGCCAACTAACAGCTTCCTTTGACCACGGTCCTGTGGTAAGTATAACTAAGCTGGCAGGGATAACTTCAGAATTTGAAGTAGATGATTCTATTACTCGAACACCACTAACTTTGGGAGCCGATTTATTCGATGTTGAAAATTCCAACCCTATAACACGAGCAATTTTTAATTTGGTTCCCTGATTTGTTAAATATTGAGCACGCCGAAATAATTCATCTGTGAGTTTTTTGGGATGTACCTAGTAGGAATTATGCAATAAAATAAATAATACTTCCAATAATTTAATTTTTACACGACGAAACTCAAAATGACGTCACAAAAATATAATCTTGACTTTACTAAGGACTATTTATAGATCATGTCTGTTAAAGTTAAACATGTAGAGAATGTAATAGTTATCATCAACGCTATTGAATGGTCGTCACACTGTATCACAGAATGGTTGAAATCAGAATCGTACCACAGGACACCAGCCCAGCGGTTTTTTATATTCCAGCGTTCGCGGTTCGATTCGTGTGGCTGTGGGCCCGCACCGTTCAACAGTTCCATACAGGGGTGAAACAGTTGCTTAGTGCTCCCTGGTTTTAGGTGGTACCTCAACTGAGATCAATGTGTAGCGAAAATAACCTACGAATCTGAACAAAATTCCTCCAAGTCAAAATCTTTGACATATAATCACTTTAATGATTTTACCAAACGAGAGAAGGATTCATAGTATTAACGTGAAGTCAACAAAAGATAGCAATCACTAGAGTTTTCGGAAGTGCTCTATGCACAAAGTATCTTTTAAAATGGAAATCTATTTAACTAACGGAATGGCTAATAAAAGCTTTCCATCCAGGACTTTCTTCGTTTACTTTACCTCAGATTTAGGACTGTATCTATACAATATGAGTCATATGAATACTACTCAACTCTAAATTTTCATCACAATAAACCGGTTGTTTAGCTTAGAATCCCTGCAACCTTACAAAGAAAAACCAAAATGAACTCAGTAATCAACGATAAACACTGTTTGACTGGATGACCTTTGAAATTAAATCAATTATAGACACCGACAAATAATATCGATACCAGTCGTTGTTGGGATGGTTCCATGGTAAAGTAACTCTTCGTGTGAGTCACATCTGCGCTTTGATCGTGCTCTACTGAGAGCACGTGTTTGTCTTCATTTATTTGGATATAAGAAAATCAAAACCAGATTATTTATACTTCGGCTGGAAGATATATCGAGTTATTTAGGGAAGAAATATCCAAACAATGAGAAAATATTAAGGGGAACAGTCATAATCAGAATAATTTGGCATGAAGTCCAGAAAGCTGTAAATACAAAGGTTATTTCTATCAGCAACATAAACCAAAAGGTTAGGAAGAAACAGTGGGTTTTAGAAGTTTCGACTGAAATAACAGATGCTTGGAAAATAATTTCGGTAAGATGCAAACATAATGAAATACACAGACAGAAAGCCTACACAATGATCGCAAGCAGTAGTCGATCGTTAAAACAAAAGGAGTAGAAAAGTTAGAGGTGATAGTTATTGGTATATAGCTGTTTAGACTTATCAAATGCACAGGTATCTAAGTTAAGCTTCTAATATGGCACTGTGATCTATACTCAGACTAGGTGTTTAGGATGATGAGTAGAATACTCTGAGGGATTGTTCAATTGGCTTTCAGCTGTTACTTTTAGTTTGAAATTTAGTCCTATTACATTAAACCTTTACGGTACGCAAAAAACACATGTAGAACATCTACAGTAAAAAAAGGATGCCAATAAAAGTATATGGATATTAATGGTTTAAAACTAAATCAGTTTAGTATCAACGAATTTATTTTTACAAGGCATTTGGAAATACTCTTATCGACAAAGGAGAAATACAAAACAAACCTGTGCAGTAGTTGTAGAGTCCCCTATCAGGGAACAATTTTTCACTTTCGCACTGACCCAATATGGTGATTCTGAAGAGCCGGAAGATTTCCCAGGAGATAGTGATATAGAATACGTGTTAACACGTCTATAATCACATACACTACCGAACTCATCTGCTAATTCCATGTGTAAATCAAAACCTTTTTGGGCTAAAACATCCATTTCATTGTGAGAACACCAGTCCTTAGCGAGGAATCCCCCAGCTCGCCCAGATGCAGCAGATCCAAGTTGCTCTTTTTCAATTATTAGTGTGTCGATCTTCCGTTTTGATAGGTAATAAGCTGTAGAAACACCCATAATACCACCTCCGACTATGATGACTGACATTATGGGGAGTTACATATGTACAGCCTAGATCTTAGTGACGGAATATTGACACCAATACACTGGATACATATATATCCTGACTCTGGTAGACTTAGTTCCCCTCAGTTGTTGTTCGAAAAACGAACTATGTTACGGCTAGTCTAATAATGAGATTTTTTGACTTTGTATTTCGTTTAATAATGGAACACTACAATAAATGTAAAACAACAATTATATGAACATTTCAAATTTAAGATGTAACTGATGGTTTTAATCGAAGAATCTTCCAAATTTTAAACTCTATACGGCTAGCTCTGTGAAAACCCTTTAAGCACTTTTCTCACTTCTGTGACTTTACCTGGATTGCTAACTTCCTATATGTCTTCTTTGCGATAGAAACTATGTGTTGCTTTATTACATTTAACGAGCACTGAGGGTTTGGGTAGAAAACAATGAAATATCTTTTTGTTAAAATCCATACTATTGCCTTGATAAAATTTGTTTGTCATGATGAGTCAGTCGAGCCGATATCAGTGAAAACATTAGTACCTTTAAGATTTATGGTCCAACAAAAGTAGAGTAGCAAACGAGAAACCAGTAAGTTTCATTAAAAAAATTCCTACGATCTCAGACTTTAGAGGAGAATTCTCTAGTTAACTTCTATTTGATGTGACACTAATATTTTATGACTAGTCTATAGTAATTTCGCACTTAAGAAACCTGGTGTGCTTATCTACCACAAGGACGAAGTATGTGACAAGTAACTATAATTAATCACAGGACCATATGTATATGAAACTCCACGCTATTTAATCGATGGTTAGGAACTATAAGTTGCAAAGGAACATTGGGTTGCTATAACTGCACAGAGAAGGGTTACTGTGACTGAAAACTGACACTTCCAAATTATGAATAATCATTACAAAGTGACGATACATCCCAAAGGCAATTTTGAGTTATTTAACATTATGGGAAATCCTAGCATCGAATAATTATCATGTTACTCCTCACCACCGTTAATTTTTGAGTTTTGATCGTTCATCATGCACCAAGATTAGTGTTTTTACAGTAACTCAGTTTGTTTCACTGAAAGTATTAGGAATTGCGTTCTTGCATCTGTGATCATATTGGGTACAATAGTTTTTCTGGTCCATTTATGCTTTTTAACCGAACTTCTGTGTGTCATTTTTAGCCTCTGAGTGGGTTTTTTCTAGATGTTTGAAATTTTCGAATGACGATATGATAGTGTGCAAAAGTAAATGTTAACGCTCGGGTTTTCTTAAACTGTGAAGAATGGTATAGTGTGATGAATGTAAAAGGCGATACCGAGAACTTTCTAAAAATCTAGCACTTGGAGCTTTTTAGGTGTAATTGACCTGAATGCGTGTGCTTGTGTCAGCAGTGTTGCTGGGATCCAATAAGTGCGTTATCTGTTTGAAGAATGTGAATTTTTCCACATTTTAAAACATTAGACTTTAATACGAATATTCGTTAAGGTTAGAACGAATAGTTTGACAATAATTGGGCGCCGAGTATAGAGAATTCATTATGTGGAAAAATTATATCTGAAATAGTCTCAGCGATTGAAATATAAATAATAAATTAGACTTTTGTTGTGTTTATTAATGCAGAAACTAGATCTAAAACTATATTTACCGTTTCCAGCGCTATTCGGGTTTGCGAAATACCTTTTCACATGCTTTTTGCTTTAGTTTACGCTAGTTTCAATTTGTTGGTGCGTATCTGTATATTCATATTTCCCGTTTCGCTATGTATTCCCTAGAGGTTGATTTGCTAACCTTTTGACGTTTTGCTCCTTAAGGAGCAAATTTTAAATTCATAACTAAATTTAGTTATGACTGCTTAAAGTTACCGCTCTGGTACATTTTCATAGGCACTACAGTACCGTAATAATTTTCGAATTTTTGTTCCTAATCTCTTTTCATTCTCACAGTCCGATACCGTAACAGATGTGATTTCATCTTTTTGCTTAGTCTTTTGGGTACAACTGTAAGCCAATCATTGACCTTATTTTGTTTCTTGGTCAAATCTGCTACAACGTTCAGGCTTTGCTCCTGAGCATTTTATTGTGTTGAGATGGGGATCTGTGTGGAGCTCTGTAGTTGAGACCAACAACCCACATATTTCAGAGCTCTTTGTGGTTTGTTTTTTTCTTTTCGTGTTTTCTTGTAACCATGCCTATATCTGTTTGTCAGCCACTACATCATAGTGGTCTACTTTGATGGCTTCATTCAAATCTAGAGCTGGACTCATAATGATGGTTGTTGCTTCACTGAGATTTGATAGTCGCTTATCAGTTTGTTCGAGGTCACTTCCATGGCTGTGTTTAGCAGCTCAATCACCTCAAAATATATTTATTATATATTTAAACACATAAATATTGGTACAAGGGGGCACCAGATATATGTGCGCCGCACAAATCTCATTCGATTTGTGTGAGGGCTGTGATACTGCCCAGGTGCCCAAACTGAAGCAGGTGGTTTTCTTAGGGGGCCACACCCGGAACCTTTGACCTGAAGGTCTGATCCACAAGGCAGTGGAGCATCGTAAGGAGATGCAAACCCATGGTAGCTGGTGACCAAAAAACTGATTCATACGCCATTTGTTCCCTCAGGGTACTTGAGCCCATGTGCACCATTGGTTTGGAATTAGGGTTTTCCAACTCCCTTAGGTGGACCTTCCGTGTCCCCCAACCCGGTTAAAGCGCCGGAAATTCGCTTTTCATCCTCTCAATTTCGTAAACAACACCCGTGGTGCGAGAAGGCAGTGAGTAGGACTTCCCTGACAGAGGCTATGTACGCGTGGCCATGTGAGAGCATTTTGAGAGGAAGAGCGGACTCTCCTCACTCTCGGACGTACCAGGGCATTTGGGGGCCTAAAGAACCATGAGAAACTCTTTAGAGAAGCACCCCTTACACAGTCAACGCGATAGTGGCCTGCAACACCTCTTATATCCAGCCGATGTGAGTCTGGTTTACACGCTATTATACTACTCTTTGCAGTTGTCACACTGAATTCCATCCTGTGGGGAGTAGTGTAACGTCGTGTACTATATTACACCTACATAGCTTATTCTAGTTTCTGGACAAGCCAATTCACCTATAACGTTATGAGTCATATTTTGATCATATTAATTATTCCCTTATTGACCTTGACTATTTTTTTATATGAGCGTATGTGTATGCACACTTCTTATCCTACCTATCACATGTCTGTCATTCATTGTAGCCTGACTATAAATGTTGTTTAATGCTTGCTTATAACGAGTTGGCTTCCCAGTCATCTCCACTCTGCGTCATCTTTCCTTCGCTTGCTTACATTTGCTAATGTACTCACTGCCTTCTAGCCCATGTTACTTATCAATAAAAATGTAGTTGCTGCTTCCCTTTGTCTTCTGATATTATACACCGTTCAGATTGTTATAATAACGGTTATCAAGACGATCGATTAACGAAGCACTACACTACAATCCTCAGCCGGAAGGAAAACTGTAGGTCTACTGCAGCGATGTTTTGCTCCATGTGAGTTCATTGAGAGAAAAACACAAAAAATCTCTTGAATCACAAGGACTGCTAACCATCTCCTCTTTTCCGGTGCATTAATAGTTTTCACTCTATCTTCTGCAATTCATTTTTAAATGTCAACTACTTAGAGTTGAGATAGCGTCAAATCAATTTCGTGTTTTACTGAAAGTTCAGTGATGGATGAGTTGTATGTTATTATAAACCAAATAAAAATTTCCAATATCATACTCTTGAAATTTATAAAACACATTTGTTAGATATTCAAACATTAAATGCAAGGTGGCACAGAAGCTAAATTGCGAGAAACATCTGCTCTCTGTACAGGGTATGTGTTAAAGTATTTAACTAGATTCAAAGCATATTCAAGGTTGGTTGGTATATCTAGGCATTATTCTCCGACTTTGACTCCCAACTCTCACTTTTAATATCAAGTTCCATAAAATCGTAAGTAAAAGAGCAGTAAAGCTGACACCATTCTGTGACAATAAACCGATGGGATTATAACAGTACTTAGTAACCCAACACATCTTATTATGTGATTCCAGCCACTTACATTTGCCATGAGAAGTGATTCGACAATTAAAGTGAGTTAACAATACTAAAGCTGTTATTCCACTGTTACTTTACTTTATAATTAACTAGGGAACCGCCAAAGGTCATTACCATGATATATTTTCAACAGGACTACTGCCCTTTTAAATCAATTCCATGAGAACGTATTCCATGTGATCTAGCCTGTGTAACGACAGAAATGCCAATATTCTGTTTGAATACAGAACTAAAGACTAGACTATATAGTCTAGTCTAATCGAATAAATTTCGGACCAACAAAGGGGAAATAAAGGGAAAATGGTATTGTATAATAAAGGCGAAATAAAGCGGAAATGCGCCAAAATGTCTGCTTTCTCGCCTGTCCGGGGGAAAAAAGCGGAATGTCTCCTTAATGTCGCTCTGTGCTTCACATGTCGCTAAATTGTCTATTTTTCGCCTAAATATCCGCCAAATTGTCTACTTCTCGTCTACACATCCATGTCATACAGTTTCGCAAGGTCTTTCTCGTTGACAGATGATGACAAAATCAATTAGTAAGTGCACCTGAAGTTTATTAGCCTCATTTATCTTACTTCGTACGCAGCCATAAAACCAGCACTTCTGAAGCTCTTGTTTTGATGAAGTACCAAGTAGCGTGAAATTAATGGCAACTTCAGGTGTCATGATGTAGGACAGAAGATATCGCATGGAAGTTTTAGGATCATCATCCATTAAACGCGTCAACATGGCCATCTATAATAGGAATGAATGATACAATCCATGTGGTGTGCTTACAAATTTGTTCCTCACGTATTTTTGCTCAAAACAAGCGTCCAAAGTTCCCAGTTATTCTTCAGATGACAAAGGGAACTGTTGACTGGATAGTTCACAGTCAAATTGACGCGGATGTTCGCGCTCAGCGAACTCTGAGAGCATCAGCTTTATATTTGCACTAATTTCACTCAAGCTTGCCAATATTTTCAGCTGCACCGTATGCATTCTTTCAAATCTGAAAAATTGGACTTGATCGTACGGATGACTTACTCAGCTGTTAGATTTTTATCACCGGACGTGGAAGGCGAGGTGTCTATTTGTGTTGAACTACAACAACCTACACTCCGACGCCTTCCATACCGATATGAAGTCAAGTGTACGGCATTTACGCTGAAAGTCGGAGGGAGTACTTTCCACGCAACTAGATATCAACTTATTTATAGTCCTAATTACACAGGAATTTACGTTCATTAGCCTCTTATGTCCTGATTCTATCTAGAGTGTTACAAGTTTCTTTGTGACACTTAAGTACACCATGTGCATAGGATCTAAAGGGAAAGTTGAGATTATGTCTATCGGAAGACTTTCGAATATTGAATGTCCTTGATGGTGAATGTGAAGACTTAGTTTATGATGTGCATTCGCCACAGCATCTGCCTGACGATGCTCTTGCACTTGGACCGTTAGATAGCTACTCAGCATTTCCATTTGAGTCTTATATGAGACAAACTAAGAAAATCATACACAGTGGGTATTCCGTTGCTAAGCAAGCAGCTCAGCGTTACGCGGAACAAATGTCTTTCTGCGATAGGCTCCAGATTGACATATCGACTCATAGTAACCCGGTGATAGGTAAGGCTGACTCACGTAAGCAAATAATAATGTTAAGGAATAGTAAAATAACTTCATTTAGGCCTGATAATGTTGTGGTAGTCAGCGGAAAGCCGGGATTAAAAACTGATATTCAAGAGAATGGACTCTTAAAATTCAGGCAATTCACAGACCCACAAAATTACCTTGAAGATCCATTACCTTCCACTGACATAGGAATATTTAAATGCTCCGCAGTTAGCAGTGATTACAGTTGGGTTTCGATTCATGATGTTGATTGTAAATGTATGTCGATAAATTGTGTTAATCATTTGGTTATTGTTCCTTTGTTACACACTGTTATGTGATTGTCTTTCGTTTAATTTCCCGTTATGTAATATTTAGTCTCCCAACAATAAATACATAATCATTAACGCACCAAGCAAAAATAAGTTGGTGATTGCAGCCGGCCATTGGGTTATTGGAGAAAAACTATGTCTCTATCCAAGGGAGTAGACTGATGTGCATCTGCAAAACAATGACCTACCTCAAGAAAATTGGCCTATGTTCACGTGCAATGTTGTGTGCAAATGCGGTTAGTTACAAACATGCAAACGATCGCTTTTTATAGATAGTCTCAAATCTGCCAATGATTTGTTGGCATCGTTCTACGTTCAATTTTTCAGATTTGAAAGAATGCATACGGTGCAGCTGAAAATATTGGCAAGCTTGAGTGAAATTAGTGCAAATATAAAGCTGATGCTCTCAGAGTTCGCTGAGCGCGAACATCCGCGTCAATTTGACTGTGGACTATCCAGTCAACAGTTCCCTTTGTCATCTGAAGAGGAACTGGGAACTTTGGACGCTTGTTTTGAGCAAAAATACGTGAGGAACAAATTTGTAAGCACACCACATGGATTGTATCATTCATTCCTATTATAGATGGCCATGTTGACGCGTTTAATGGATGATGATCCTAAAACTTCCATGCAATATCTTCATTTATTTATTTATTTAAGCACATATATATTGATACAAAGGGCACCGGATACATATGTGCCACACAAAATAGTGAGAATTGGAGGAGAAGGAAGAAGATGCGTATATATAAAGGAAGGGAAAAAAGAAAATGAGAAGAGTAATGATGGGGGAACTGAATGTATAACCAGAAGAACTCTCTCAGTTAGGAAAGTTATAGCCACTCTTTATGAAGAAAGTAAAAGAAGTTTACAGCAAGCACGCCACTGGCTTCTATTCTGAGCCATATCTGACAACGTCTCTAGCCATTGTGTTGCACCATCTCTCGGATCCCAGCTAGGGAGTCGTGAAGGACCAACAGAAGCTAGCCCTTTGCACCTTTCTTTCATGCCACGACACCATGTCATACACTGACCTCCTCTCCGCTTTTTCCAACCAGTCCCAGAGTCGGCAAATAATGCACGACGTGGAAGTCTCTGGAACGACATTCGTAAAACATGTCCAAGCCACCGAAGTCGGTGTTTCAAGATGGTGACACCAATTGAATTATCGTCTCTGCGCCCGAACACACGATGCCGAACCTCTACATTACTAACATGGTGTTGCCACTGGATGTCAGCAATCCTTCGGAGACAACGATGATCGAACACAGAGAGTCGTCTAACATCCTCAACTCGGAGAGGCCAGGTTTCACAAGCATAGAGCAAAACTGCTCTCACCGACGCGTTGTAGATCCGACCTTTTACAGCCAGACTAACATCACGAAGGCGCCGAAGATGGCCCAGATTGACATAAGCCGCTCTGGCTTTCATTATACGTGCATCAATTTCATCACTCACGCCACCACCAGCACTTATATAGCTACCTAGATACACGAACTTCTCAACTACTTCAATCTGCTCACCATCCAGGGTGAGTACAGGATGAGAATCCTGCCAGTCTTGTAGGAGCACTTTGCACTTGGAGGGTGCAAAGAACATGCCGTACCTGCGGACACTGATTGCCTCAAGGTCGGAAGTCGTTCTCCAGGCAGCAGATCCACACCGCCATTACTTACATCCATCAGAGCTGTTTCCAGGATGTCGTCGATGGCAAAGTTGAAGAGGAATGGTGAGATTGGGCAACCCTACCTAACCCCACTGCTCGAATGGAACAAGGGAGAAAGGTGGTTGTATGCCCTCACTCTGCCTGAGGTGTTCGTATACAGAGCCTTTAAGATGTTAATGAACCTCTCAGGCACACCCTTCTTCAATAGACAATCCCAGAGAACAGTCCTGTCCAACGAATCGAAGGCCGCCCTGATATCAAGAAACACTACGATTGTTGGCCTGCGATAAGTATGACGGTGTTCTAACATTTGGCGGAGGGTGAAGATGTGATCAATGCATCCTCGACCAGAACGAAAACCAGCCTGCTCCTCGCGAGTCAATCGTTCTCGGGTTTTAAACAACCTTCGAAGAATGATAGAAGCCAATAGTTTGGACGCAATCGGAAGTAGACTTATCCCCGAAAGTTATTACAGGAACAACGTGAATCTTTTTTAAAGATAGGGACGACTATCGACTCATTCCATGATAATGGAACACTTTCTTGCTCCTAAACCTTTGCAAACAATACAGTCAGTTCCTTAACCAGAAAGTCACCACCATCTTTAAAAAGAGCTGGAGGTAAGTCATCTGGGCCCGGTGATTTGTAACGTTTCAAGAGTTGGAGTTCCTTGCGAACTTCCGCCTCGTTTGGTGGATCAGTCGTCACTGGCCAGTTGAACTGCCCTTCGAAAAATTCCGCCCATCGTATAAGACGTCGACAGATGTTAGTGATTGGCATCCCGTCATCCTCGTAGATTGTTTCACTCACACCAGACTTCTTGCTGCCAGTGGCTCTGATGAGTTGGAAGAGCTTCCGGCAGTTACCAGATGCAGCTGCTCCGACCATCAGGCTTCTCGGTACTTACGCAAGCTTTGCCCAATTTCATTACGTAACAGCCTTCGTTTGTGGTCAAACTCACGGTCACCTGGAGTAGACCGACGGGCTTACATCAGTTGTAAGGAGCCAGAAGAAACCCGGTGCTTGTAAGCGGGACGTTTCGCGAAGCCGCAAGCGGCTTTACTCGCCATTTTCATGGCGTCGTGAAGATGCAACCAATGCTCATCTATACTTTTCGGTGGGGTGGTAGCTAGCCTAGAAGCTAGCTCCGCTCGATACTTACTTGCAACAGAAGTTGCAATCAGTTTACTAATATCGATCCCTTGATGACGGTCAATCCTTCGGCCACTGAAAAGTAAGGTGAGATTGGCGCAGACCAGGGCATGATCAGACTCCAGATAGGTACTCCAAAAGGAGCGGCAGTCTTGTATACAACCACGCCAGTGACAGCTGATAGCGATATGATCAGTCTGAGTCCAGGATCGAGATGTAGAGGGAGGACGCCAGGTGGCACATCGGCGATGACTGTGTCGGCAGTGCTAGCTAGAAACTGGTTGCGGTCTGAGCACATTTGCAGTAAACTGTCACAGTTATCTGACCTGAGACCAGCAAGTCTACATCGGCCATCTAAACGACTCTCTTCTGTCCCTAGATGCCCGACCTGTGCATTCAAGTCTCCGGCTAGTACTACAATATCTGTCGAACGCACTTTCTGGAGAAGAACAGTTAACTGGTGGGAGAATTCATCCTTGATTGCATCCGGGCTGTAATCTGTCGGAACATAGGTGGAGATGACAAAAAGACATCGTTTTTCACGCCCATTTCTTCTCACTTTGATGGAGCCTTCTAATCTAACAGCACATAACCGACTGTTAATGGGGATCCAATCGATTAGTGCTGCCTCAGCTCTGGCGCTTAGTGCGACACCAACGCCAGCAAGACCAGACGGAGATACCACAGGGTCCCTGGATAAACGCACGTAAAACAAGCCTTTTGAAGAGAGAGATGGAGAGCGAATTTGTAGTACTTCACTACAGCCTTGAAAACGGGTCTCAGACGGACAACATAAAACGATATTAAGACTTTTTAAAGACATAGCCAACCTTATCTTTTGTCCGATCTTCATTAGTGTGCGAACGTTAAAGGAAGCCAGTTTGAATGGTATACGAGGTTTCAGAGACTGCTTCAGTATTTATAACCGGTGGAAGCATTCACTTTCGGCCAAACAGCGACTAGAAATCGTTTAGATGGAACAGAGTTTCCACCGAGAGCGAGCTGCTGCATAAGTTGAAAAGTAAGGTTACACAAATTGGGGATGAAAGAGGGTGAGTTAGCGATATGGTAAATAATAATAATAACAATAATAATAGTAATAATACAGATTGTTTTGTTTCTAGTATGAGCGAGAATATAATTGTCAGTTGAATGTTTCATTTCATTTATTTGCGAGAGACCTGTGATACCGCCCGGGTGCCCAAACCAAAGCATGTGGTTTTTTAAGGGGCCAAACCCCGAGCCTTTGTCCTAGAGGTCTAATCCACAAGGCAGTGGAGCATCGTGAGAAGATGCAGTCCCATGGTAGCCGGTGACCAAAAAACTGATTCATACGCCATTTGTTCCTTCAGAATACGGGAGCCCATGTGCACCATTGGTTTGAAATCAGGGTTTTCCAACTCCCATAGGTGGATCCTTCATATCCACCAACCCGGTTATAGCGCCGGAAATTCGTTTTTCGTCCTCTCGCTTTAGTAAACAACACCCGTGGTGCGAGAAGGCAGTGAGTAGGACTTCCCCGGCAGAAGCTATATACGCGTGGCCATGTGAGAGCATTTGGAGAGGGAGAGCGGACTCTCCTCATTCTCGGCCGCACCAGGGCATTTGGGGGCTGCGATATTTTCTGTCCTACATCATGACACCTGAAGTTGCCATTAATTTCACGCTACTTGGTACTTCATCAAAACAAGAGCTTCAGAAGTGCTGGTTTTATGGCTGCGTACGAAGCAAGACAAATGAGGCTAATAAACTTCAGGTGCACTTACCAATCGATTCCTGTCATCATCTGTCAACGAGAAAGACCTTGCGAAACTGTATGACTTGGCTATGCAAAGTTATTTTCGTGACATGAGAGACAAAGTACAGAAACGTTATCGACGGAAGAAAGTATACGTACGTACTACTTTAAAGTGATTAGTGCGTTCGCCCTATCAATAGGTAGAGTCTTCCGAGTTAAAGGACATAACCGTAAGTTCAGCTTCAAGTACCTGGTTATGCAAAAAAAGTTTCCTATATACAAAAACGTTTTTCCTCATAACATTTTAAAATTCACAATAATTATTTGAGTCTCCATAGTCCAACAGGCGTGATGGAAAGAAATAATACGTGGAATGCTTTTCCTGTCAAACTTCGTTTTCAATAAATATTTTCAAAAAAATTGTACTTACTTCTTATTTGAGGAAGCCTGTTTCATTGTTTATGCCTTTGCAAATAAACACATGTACGTTATTAATAAATTATTACCTGTATTATTTTGCAGCTCTCTTCAGATGATACGGGTTCGTGACAATTGCAATTAGATTATGAACATTAATGCTCTACCATCTGCAAACTACTCATAACGTTGTACATCAATAAACTTTTGGTTTTCAATAAAAATTTTGAACATATACCATATTTTACGTACATTGCATTATTCGTGTGCTGCGTTGTGGGAATGAAGGCGAACACAAGAGATAATTACAAAAGCGTTTTAAAAGCGGGCGCTGAATTACATCGGTGTGTATGTAGTCGAAAAGTAGACAATTCGGCGGATGTGTAGATGAGAAGTAGACAATTTGGCGGATATTTAGGCGAAAAATAGACAATTTAGCGACATGTGAAGCACAGAGCGA